AGTGGGTGGGGAGTGAGGGAGGAGGGTGGGGTGGGAACTGGGAGGAGGGGAGTTATGGGGGGGGGGGAAAGAGGAACAAATATAATAATCTGAACAATAAAGATTTAATTAAAAAAAAAGTTACATGTTGTCTTGATGGGAGACAGTTCTCTGGGGTCCCTCATGGTTCTGCTTGTCTTGCACGGGGCACTGTCTGCCCTTGTTCCTTGGTGTGTAGGAAACAGTTTTGGAAGAGCGTGTCAGCCTCTGGAACAAAGGGCAGGCTTGCTTTCAGCCCTAGGAGATGCAGATGAGGTCTCCCTTTGAGCCAAGGGCAGGCGTTCTCACTGCCCATTATTAAAAGATGTGGGGTTTTTTCCCAGCCAGAGTGGCTCAGTGGTTGAGTGTTGAACCATGAACCAGGAGGTCACCAGTTCGATTCCAGGTCAGGGCACATTTTTCCCAAGTTGCAGGCTCAGTCTCCAATGGGGGTGTGCAGGAGGCAATCAATAATTTGCTCTCATCATTGATGTCTCTTTCTCTCTCTCTCTCAAATCAATAAAATATATGTTTTTAAAAGACGTGTTTCTAAGCTCACTGTTCCTTTTCTGTGATGCCACCCGCTGTGCATGCAGATGTCACCCGGCCATCTTCACATCACCCTGTGGGAACGGGGACTCAGATCTGGCACAAAAATGGTGATACTTCATAGCTATGTCATAAGTAATAGAGTCTCCTTTCTCTCTGACTGGAATGGGGCAGGAAGAAAGGGGCAAGCGAAGGAGGCAAGGAAAAGGCATGATCTGGAGCCCAGGGCAGGTGTAATCAAGGCCCAGGTTGCCTGCTGACAGCGGGCAAACCTGACTTCAAGGCCCAGCCCTGGTCAAAGATAGGACACACACAACTTCTACAAGAGCAGAGCTGGCCAGTGCCCACAAGCCCTGTCGTCACAGGAAGGAGGGAGGGAGAGACTAGAGGTGGCTCACCTGTTTCACAGGCTCATGCCAGCGAGAATCTCTAACTTGGGTAGCTTCACCCTTGGGCTCAGGCATCCCAACCGCCATTAGTGGCGCCATCTCTGAATCCAGTACGGCGATGTAACCATCCTCATCCTGGGCCACAAGGGGAAGCTCCAGGTCCTCAGCCACTGTTCAGGGAAAGGGGCCTGATCTCAGTTGGGCAAAAGCACTCATCCAGCCCTTAAACAAGATGGGGCTGCTGGTGACCGTCTTCACCACCTGTGGGGAGAAACTCCTGAGCCCATGAGCGAGCAGAGAGAAATCACGTCTTCACGTCATTGTTCGAGTCCCTGGATCCAGCCTTTTCAGCTATGGGAATCAATAAACTCTGCTTAATTAAGGTATTTCTGTGCTAACAGTTCTGTATCTTGCAGCTGTATGTGTTCTGACAATAACCTTGGTGTTCCAGGCCCTCTCAGGCTGGGTCCATCCATGTCGTCACTCCCCTTCAGGGGCTGTCACCACTGCTCAAACACCAGCTCAGCGGTCCCCAAGCCTGTCGCTTTCTGCCTGTTTTCTCACCCCTGATTACATCACTCTCATGAAAGGCTACCCGTTCTTCAAGGCCAGCATGACATCTCTCCTTCATGAAGCTGTCCTAGACCATCAGTCTCAAGGGGCATCAAGTGCGTGCCAGGTGTCAAGTTTCTGCCTCATCAGGTTTCTTCCCCTGACAGCCAGACTGGAAGGCCCTATAGGGCAAGGCATGTGTGCTAATAGCTACCTCCTTTTGATAGGTGAACGTTGCAAAAGAAAGCATGAAAGGCAGGTGACAGAAATTGTGTGAGTGCAAGTGCACACACGTGCAAATTTCCCTCACCACTCTTATTGAACACAGGGAGGAAACAGGTGGGAAAGAAAGAATATGGAACATCCTCTCCCTTATTAAAACAAAGCCCCCCTCCCCCAGGTCATTCCAGAAGGAAACTCTCCAACAGCAGTGGCCCTAGAAATCTAGGTGAGAACCCCCGAGAGTAAGGTCAAACCGAGGGGGGCAGGGACTGGGCCAGGGTGAGCTCGCAGCATCAGGAAGTGCTCCTTAACAGGGCTGGCTGCGGTTCTGCTAGACAGAGCCAGGACAGGAAGCTTCCAAACAGGGCCGCCTGCGCCCTGCCCCTTCAGGCCCCATCCTCATAGAGCCCTGCAGCCCTTAAACAAGATGGAACAGATGTCTGTTTGAAAGTTCTTCCATTACCAAACTCTAAGACAGAGTTGGGCTCCGGGCCTCCATCTTTCCTGCTGCCCTTCACATCCTGCATCTTCTCATGCTGAGTCCTTCTCAGCCTGCAGCACTGGCTCCACTTGCCAGCTCATGACAGGTCGGCAGGGACTGGGGCTCCTGGGTTCCCCACTCCAACACCTGCTGAGACAACAGACTGGGGGCCAACTCTGACTGCCCTCCTCCTCCCCTTGGGCCAGGTTCCAGGACTCCACACCATTTCCCATCCGTGCCTTCCTTCCCAGGTCCTCAGACTCTTCACTAACACAAGGCTCCCTCCTCACACTGTCACCAGTCATTAAGAAAAACCTGGTAAAAATAAATAAAAAGTTGATCCTTTCTTGGCCTGGCCAGTGTGGTTCAGTGGCTGGAGCATTGGTCACAGGTTTGATTTCTGGTCAAGGGCATGTACCTGGGTTGCAGGTTTGATCCTGAGCCCTGGTTGGGGGCATGTGCGAGAGGCAACCAATCGATGTGTCTCTCTCACATTGATGATATTTCTCTCTCTCTCTCCCTCCCTCCCTTCCACTCTCTCTAAAATCAATGGAAAAAAATATCCTCGGGTGAGGATTAACAAAAAAGAAAAAGAAAAACCTGATCCTTCCATTTTTTTCTCAGAACCCTTCTAGGGCTCCCCACTGCTTTTAGTGCCTTCAAAGGGCCCCCTCACCTTGCTAACCTCTACTCTTGCCACATCTTGGCCACCAGTTGTGCCTCACTCTTGCTAGCCCCTCCTCAGGAGTTGCCCCCACCCCACCTCCGAATACTCTTACATTGAACTTGGCTCCAGCTGTCATCAGGAAACCTTTGGTACTCAGGTCAGAGCCTCGGGCACAGCCCGCTTGGCACAGCCCCTTTCCCAGCTGTCCACTGGACCACTCACTGCCTTTCCACGGACAAGTCCATCTCCAGAACTGAGAATATAAAGCCCTTGGAGACAGGGTCCTGGGGGTCCTCCTATTTCCCTCATGGCATCTCACATGCTTTGGACAAAGCACAAGTCACAGCAACAATCACTTATCAACAATCATTGATAAATTCCTGAAATGAAATGGGAGAGGACACATTCCTAACCCCCAAGAAAGATGTGTGCTCTTCCCAGGAATAAAAATAAACATGTTTAAAACCACCAAAACAGACTGTTCCTCAAAGGGAGCCCTGAGATCTTTTACTGTGATGCACATTTGGGGGCCCAAAATGTCAGCTGACTGTAGAAATGGATGAATGGAATGTGGGTAGCCCTGCAAGGAACCGACACTGAGGCTCTCCTGCAGGTCACATCCCGGACTGTTGGCACTCACACGCCTCTCCCAGTAAGGAAGTAACCGCCCCCTATGGTTTCAAAAGAAAGTAGTGTCTTTGGCAGTCCTTGCCCTGGGGTCTATTTTTCCCTATACAGGACCAGAATTATCTCCCGAAGCTCACCCACTTGGGCTCCACGGGGCCTGGCTATGGGAGGGTCAACTAGATGAGCTTCCAGATAGAAGCGCCTGGCACAGAGTGGGCACATGCACTCCCTCTGACGCTGTTTATACAGATGTATTTTTATTAATCTCAGAGAGGAAGTGAGAGAGAAACATCAATGATAAGACTCACTGATCGGCTGCCTCGTGCATGCTCCCTTACTGGGGAATCAAGCCCTCAACCCAGGTATGTGCCCTAATCAGGAATCGAACCGGGACCTCCTGGTTCATAGGTCGACGCGGTCACGGAGACACACCGGCCTGGCCCTCTGACATTTTAAATTACACACTTCATCAATTTCTCCTCTTCTCCAAGAGGATGGGAGCAAGCCAACTCAGGGAAATTGTGACAGAAAAACGACAGGGAGCCACTGGCATTTACATTCTTACTTGTGGTTTCTGTTCATTTGTTTTGTTTTTGCTTTTTATTTATTTTTTCCTAGAAAAAAAGAAAAAACACAACCAGGGGGATTTATATGATACTGTCAGGATAGCAGGGGGAAGAGAAAGGCCGGAGGTGTGGACAGTTAATAAAAAGTGGGTTCTGAATTACATGGAACAGTCCACAGGATCATGTCTGAGGCCTCACAAGATGACTGGTCATTTTGGCATGCGTGTCCGGTGCTGGGTCTCCTGCTCTGCCCCTCAGACACCCAAGCACCCAAGGTCAGCAAGAGCTGGCCACACCCTAGATATCTGCCAGACAAACTCGGACTTGATAGAAAGACAAGACAATGTAGCTCCTTGGCTTTGTGCGCAGTATCACACGCAGTCTTTCTTGCTCACGGTGGAGTCTGGGGTGAAAGTCACTATGGGACACACTTTGGCATCACAGTGAACTCCAGGCAGCCACCCATTCATGTGCCGACATGGTCTTCCCACCCACACCGGTGTCTGTCCAGACATCCCCAGGCAGTCTGGCCCAAGGATGAGGCACAGAATGTTCCTTCCCAGCCACCACTCAACAGCGGTGTCCACTCTCTGGCCTTGCTCGGTCACCTGCAGGAGGACAGTGGGACCCATCTGCTTTTCAGCTCCGCAATGAACACTGATTCCAAAGACGCTTGGCCATCTGGATCCACACGGAAGGTTTCTCGAATTTCTCCCACTTTTATGCTGATCTCAGGGCAGAAAATTCAGCCAGACCCGGAGCCATAAGTGGCAAACAGGAAAGCCAGAATGATGGCTGGGCAAGAAAGAGCCCGCAAGTAACACAATGCAAGGCCAGAGGACATTCAAGACGGGGAGGGGGCATGCAGCAAGCTGTTGCCCCAAGTCACAGTTTAGGGGAGGCACTAAGCCTGAAGGACACAGCCAGGTCTGCCGTCTACGCCTCCCGCAGCAGGGCCACTGGTTGTGATTCCTATGTGGAGAGTGCCCTGCTGTGACCTCTGTTCCTGCACGGAGGCCAGGTTACATCTCAGTCCACAGTCCTGAGGAGCACCACGCTGGCCAGCCAGCCAGGCCATAGTCCTCAGCCCCTCTGCTGATGGGGCTCTGGGTTCCACAGGAAGGCCCTGGGAGCGAGGGAGCAAGGGAAGAGGGATGCATTCTGCTGGGAGAAGTTCAGGGAGAAACTACTGTGGGCTGGAAGGAGCTGTGGCTCAAAACACTGCAGAGCCCAAAAGAATAGGATAAACATCGATAAAATGACAAGTCTTGTCGCTAGTTTAAAAACAGATGATTGTTGCTGTTGCTTGGTTTTGTTTTTTCCTTTTAAAACCACTCAATTTTAAAAGGTGAAGGGGCTGGAGAGGTTCAGCCCCTTCACTCTGATCCTTTCTGGGCACCAGGAGGTCTCAGGCCCATACCCGCTGCTCTCCTTGCCTGGGCTCCAGCCACCTAAGCCAGGGCAGGGTGGGGACAAGACTTGCTCTGCTTCCCAACAGCAATTCCGTCAAACCAGAACACGGAGGATGGGAAGTCCAAAGACTAAAGTGCAGAGATTTCCAGAGGGGGCGGCCTGCCACTGGGCACTCTGAGAAGGAATGGGGCGGGGGCAGCCCACAGCTGCAGCTGTGGAACCCGCTGACCATTATGAAGGAAGACTGCAGGGCACAGTCCCCTTTCCCTTGGGCCCTGTTGACACCTCTCTCTGAGACAGTCCACTGTCAGTAGCTCCCCAAGGAAAGAAAGTTCTGGTCGGAAAGATATGGCCCATGAAGGGAGAAAACTTGTATGACCATCCCTGGTTGGTAATGACTAGTGACCTCAGGGACAGGAAGGTGGCAAGAGGGGAAACAGTGCATGATATAAAATCCATGAACCCCAGGTTTCAAGAGCAAGGATACATGAACAACCCAAAAAGGCAGTCTCTCTCCTGGGGAAGGTTTGGTGAAGATGCTCAGGATCCTACCAGTGAGGCCTGCTGGGGGAAGGCGCTCCTCGGGTGGGAGGAGCCACCAAGTGGGAGCAGGGAGGAAGAAGGCCTAGGCTGGCATTAGGGTGTGTAGGCCGGGGGCGGCTGGAATTGGTTGATGACCTCATATTCCGAGGGGTAGGGCTCGGTCTCCTCCATCTCAGACAGCAGCTCCAGCGCCTGCTCCTCCTCCTCTGTCGGGTAGTGGCGTAGGAGGTTGGCTGCTGTGGCCAGGATTGAGGCTCCACCAGCTCCTGCCACCAGGTAGAAACTAACAGCAAAGGTGACATACACCTGGGAACCATGGTACTTCTTATGTTGCTGCTGCTGGGCCAGGATGAGTTCGGAAGCCCAGTAGGAAAAGCCGATGACGGTCGCACACTGCAGGACTGGGGGACAGAGGGACAGCACAGAAAGGGTTAGCAGGCATCCTGCAGCTGGGATGATTAAGGAACCAACTGCAGCCTCTCCACCCAAACCCCAGTGTCAGAGAACCTGCGTGGCCCTGGATCCTGCAAGGGGGAGCTCTCTAGGCCAGTGGTTCTCAACCTTCCGAATGCCGCGACCCTTTAATACAGTTCCTCATGTTGTGGTGACCCCCAACCATAAAATTATTTTCGTTGCTACTTCATAACTGTAATTTTGCTACTGTTATGAATCGTAATGTAAATATCTGATATGCAGAATGTATTTTCATTGTTACAAATTGAACATAATTAAAGCATAGTGATTAATCACAAAAACAATATGTAATTATGTATGTGCTTTCCGATGGTCTTAGGCGACCCCTGTGAAAGGGTCGTTTGACCCCAAAAGGGGTCGCGACCCACAGGTTGAGAACCGCTGCTCTAGGCCATGGGGTTCTTGGGCAAAGGCTGGGACAGATGCACGACCCCGTCTGGGCCAGTCAAGTCTCTTCATCTTAAGGATCTGGAGGTTGCCGAAACCGGTTTGGCTCAGTGGATAGAGCGTCGGCCTGCGGACTGAAAGGTCCCAGGTTCGATTCCGGTCAAGGGCATGTACCTGGGTTGCGGGCACATCCCCGGTGGGAGATGTGCAGAAGGCGGCTGATCGATGTTACTCTCTCATCGATGTTTCTAACTCTCTATCTCTCTCCCTTCCTCTCTGCAAAAAATCAATAAAATATATTAAAAAAAAAAAAAAAATCTGGAGGTGGAACCCGAGGGCTGCTAGAAGTCACTGAGTGCTTGAAAGACACAGACAAGGCCATGCAGTTTGGGACTGGAGTCTGCACCACCACAAATCAAATCAACACCCAGCCCAGTCATGGCAGAGGCTAGTCTGTGAGGAAGCGAAAGGGGAGGAAAGAATCCAATGAGACCAGGAACTCGAGGGGAGACACAGTGAGACACTCTGCTCATTCCAGGCCCCAGGAGCCCAGCTGAGCTTCAAACCCAGTTCTTGGAGAGCTGGGAGATTTCTTGGGGAATTCTAACAATACTCCCTCCTGATGGCTGGGCCAGGTGCACGTGCAAATGACAAAGGCAAGCTGCTATCACGCCAGTGCTCCAGGAAAGGCTAGGGTTGAAATGAGCA